GGGAAGCCAAGGCAGGCGGATTGCTTGAGCTCAGGAGTTCTAGACCAGCCTGGGCAACAAAACAGCCTGAACAACATGGCAAAATCCCATCTCTACAAAAAAAATACAAAAATTAGCCAGGCATGGTGGTGCGTGCCTATGGTCGCAGCTACTTGGGAGGCGAAGTGGGGAGAATCGCCTGAACTTGGGAAGTCGAGGCTGCAGTGAGCCAAGATCACGCCACTGCAGTCAAACCTGGGGTCAGAGTGAGACACTGTCTCAAAAAAAAAAAAAAAAAAAAAAAAGGTGCTCTTATTTCTTCCATCACACAGGAAATTACAAGGATTTTAGGACCTTTGTGTTGGGAACCAGGGCAGAGACCAAATATATATATATACACACACACATATATACACATATACACACACAGATACACACACATATACACATATATGTGTGTATATATATATATATTTTTTTGAGACAGCGTTTTGCTCTTGTTGCCCAGGCTGGAGTGCAATGGGGTGATCTCTGCTCACCACAACCTCCTTGTCCCCAGGTTCTAGCGATTCTCCTGCCTCAGCCCCCTGAATAGCTGAGATTACAGGTGCCTGTCACCACGCCCTGCTAATTTTTATATTTTTAGTAGAGATGGGTCTCAAACTCCCGACCTCAGGTGATCTGCCCGCCTTGGCCTCCCAAAGTACTGGGATTACAGGCCCCAGATATATAGTTCTTATTATGTCATGGTGCTTTTATTTGTTTAGTTATGTTTTTCTGTTTTCCCGATGAAAATGTAAGCTCCATAACAGAGCTTCCATTGTGCCAGGCCACTATTTGTAGGCGACTAATTGAGCACCTACTACGTAGTAGTACTACATGGTGAAACCCGCCACCGGGGGTTTGAGAGCTGAAGGATGGCCTATAGGGCTGGTGTACATAGTATATACCAGGAGAGGCAGTGATAGATGAGGAAGAGAATTAAGCATGGCTAGACCCTAACAGACCTTGAAGGCTGTGTTTGTTCTAAGGGCAATGAGAAGAATGAGAAGGCATGAAAGGGTTTGATGTAAATTGAGAACTGCTTTTTTTTTTTTTTTTTTGAGATGGAGTTTATCTCTGTCACCCAGACTGAAGTGCAGTGGCACGATCTCGGCTTACTGCAACCTCCTTTCCTGGATTCAAGCAATTCTTCTGCCTCAGCCTCCCGAATAGCTGGGATTACAGGCGCTTGCCAGCACATCTGGCTAATTTTTGTATTTTTAGTAGAGACAGGGTTTCACCATGTTGGCCAGGCTGCTCTCGAACTTCTGACCTCAGGTGATCTCTCCACCTTGGCCTCCCAAAGTGCTGGGATTACAGGCGTGAGTCACTGTGTCCAGCCAGAGAATTGTGTCTTTGTAAGAGTCTTCTGACTACTGGGTCGTAAATGGATGGTAATGGGGTAAATGGAGGCACGAGACCAGTGAAGCAGCTGTTGAAGTCATCCAGGCAGAGGTGACACCAGTTTGAACATAATTGGGTGTAAATTTTTTTTTTTTTTTTTTTTTTGAGACGGAGTCTTGCTCTGTTGCCCAGGCTAGAGTGCAATGGCACAATACTGGTTCACTGCAACCTCCGCCTCCCGGGTTCGAGCGATTCTCCTGCCTAGCCTCCTGAGTAGCTGGCATTACAGGTGCACGCCACCACGCCCAGCTAATTTTTGTATTTTTTGTAGAGACGGGTTTCACCATGTTGGTCAGGCTGGTCTTGATCTCATGACCTTGTGATCCCCCTGCCTTGGCCTCCCAAAGTGCTGCGATTACAGGCATGAGCCACTGCGCCCAGCCATTGGGTATAAAATTAACAGGGACTACTTCCTATCACTGTCGAAGGTGGATGGCTATGCTAACTAGACTGGAAAAGCCACAGACTTCGGATCTCTTCACTGGCACACAACTGAGCCACCTGAGTAAATCACTCTCCCTTCATTCCTTGTTGACATTCAGCAAATCCTGATGGTGCTTCTGCCATGTACCAGGCCTCTACCAAGGGCTGCAGCAAATATAAACATGACTGTGGTTCAGGCTGCCCCCCAGAAAGGAGCCTCCTAATAGAAGTAGTGTCCCCTTTGTCTTCCTGTGTTCCCTGCCTTGCCAGTGTTTGCCTCCCGTCTTCAGTACTGTTTTCAGTCATCTGCTTCATATTGTGTCCATCTTTTTTTTTTTTTTTTTTGAGACGGAGTTTAGCTCTTGTTGCCTAGGCTGGAGTGCAATGGTACAATCTCAGATCACTGTAACCTCCACCTCCCGGGTTCAAGAGATTCTCCTGCTTCAGCCTCCTGAGTAACTGGGATTACAGGCATCCACTACCACACCCAGCTAATGTTTTGTATTATTATTATTTTTCAATTAAAAAGTAAACTTCAGTGTCCAAAATGCAAACTTGGGGAGGGCAGAAAGATCACATACAAGGCTGTCACTTCACACTTGGAGAGTTGCACAGCAGCGGGCAGAGGCGCTCCTCACTTCCCAGACAGTGCTGGGGCCAGACAGAGGCGCTCCTCACATCCCAGATGGTGCGAGGGCCAGGCAAAGGCGCTCCTCACTTCCCAGACAGCAGAGGCGCTCTTCACTTCCCAGATGGTGGGTGGCGGGGCAGGGGCACAGTTTTTTGTATTTTTAGTAGAGATGGAATTTCATCATGTTGGCCAGACTGGTCTCGAACTCCTGACCTCGGGTGATCCACCCGCTCTGGCCTCCCAAAGTGCTGGGATTACAGGTGTGAGCCACCACGCCCAGCCCTAGTGTACTCTGTGCCTATCCCAAGGCCCAGGCAAAATTAGGTGCTCTATATGTCTCTGAATGAATGTGAAGTCTTCTCCTTGAGGCTTATGCTAGTGGGCATCAGGGAGCCAGTTCCCCAACCTGGGGATTCTCTCAAGGCTTACAGAGGTCATTGTATCAGTCATTTCAACCATCCAAGCCAAACAGGGAAGAACAACTCTTGCCTTTCTAACTCATGAGACTATTAAGAGAAAAAATATATAAGAGGCTTGGCTGGGCGCGGTGGCTCATGCCTGTAACCCCAGCACTTTGGGAGGCCGAGGCAGGCTGATCACCTGAGGTCAAGAGTTTCAAACCAGCCTAGCTAACATGGTGAAACCCCATCTCTGCTAAAAATACAAAAATTAGCCGGGTGTGGTGGGCGATGCCTGTAATCCCAGCTACTTGAGAGGCTGAAACAACAGAATCGCTTGAACCCAGGAGGTGGAGGTTGCAGTGAGCCGAGACTGTGCCACTGCACTCCAGCCTGGGTGACAGATGGAGACACTGTCTCAAAAAAAAAAAAAAAAAAATTACCTGGGTGTGGTGGTACACACCTGTAGTCCTAGCTTCTTGGGAGACTAAGGCAGGAGGATTGCAGGAGCTCAGGAGGTCAAGGCTGCAGTGAGCTATGATTGCGCCCTCCAGCCTGGGCCACAGAGTGACCATCTCTAAAAAATAATAAAAATTAAAGGGGCTTTGCAAAAGCGGAAGGTGTCTGATTATCCCCTGCCTGTGCAGTGCCTTGTTTACAATTAATTTGCTTTTCCCGTGTTTATTCAACACATATTTATTGAGCACTCACTCTGTGCCAAGCCCTGTGCTAGATGCTAGATAAGCAAGATAAGCCTCTGCCCTCAAGGAGCTTACACTCCAGTGTGACTCAAGGGAAAAAGAATTTGAAAGTTAAGGCCGGGCGCGGTGGCTCAAGCCTGTAATCCCAGCACTTTGGGAGGCCGAGACGGGCGGATCACGAGGTCAGGAGATCGAGACCATCCTGGCTAACATGGTGAAACCCCGTCTCTACTAAAAAATACAAAAAAACTAGCCGGGCGAGGTGGCAGGCACCTGTAGTCCCAGCTACTCGGGAGGCTGAGGCAGGAGAATGGCGTAAACCCGGGAGGCGGAGCTTGCAGTGAGTGAGCTGAGATCCGGCCACTGCACTCCAGCCTGGGCGACAGAGCGAGACTCCCTCTCAAAAAAAAAAAAAAAAAAACAGTTACTACCTACCCAGTCCCCTCACTGCACAGAAACTGAAGCCAGAGGTGTCCACACCTTTCTCCTTCCCATGCTCTGATAGCTCGTCTCTGCTAAGCTCCCCATTGCCCGTGACCCCATGTGGCAGGTTTCCCGCCTGGGGTGCACTCAGAAAATGGTTTATGTAAATAATATTGAAAAGACTGGACCTTCTCTGCAAAGAATGGGGCCGTTGCTTTTTGAAAAACTTCCTGTTGATAGTATCTCCTATGACTACCCCAATCTCTGGCTGTGTGGTTTACAGATCCAGTTGCCTCTGCTCTTGCATTGTGAGAGTCAGCAGAGGCCCAAGAAACCCCGATACTAGTTTGCTGCTGTTGGTGGGTTTTTTGAGACAAGGTCTCAGTCGCCCAAGCTGGAGTGCAGTGGAGTGCAGCCTCAAACTCCTGGGCTCAAGCGATCCTCCTGCCTCAGCCGCCCCAGTAGCTGGGAGTACAGGTGCACGCCACCACGGTGGTTAATTTTTTAAAACGTTTTGTAGAGATAGGGTCTCGCTGTGTTGCTCAGGCTGGTCTTGAACTCCTGGCCTCCAGCGATCTTCCCGCCACGGCCTCCCAAGGTGTTGGGGTTACAGGCGTGAGCCACGCGCTCGGTCCCCAGTTCTAGTTACGATTTTGTTGCAGGCGGTGAAAAGTCACGTGGCCTCCAAGGTCCTAGATTTCTGAGGGGCGTCAGCTTGGCAGCCTAATGTAAAGTGATCTCCGACTGGCTACCCACCCTCCGCTTTTTGCTCTTTTCATCCTGGGGGCTAACCGCTAAGACATAGCCTCCAGTTTCCCTAGGGAAGCCTCCGCGGAGGAAGGCACCGGCTGGGGCATCCGGGAAGACCCATCTGGGGAAAGTCTCCCTACGTGCAGTCTGCGGGCTGAAGGGGCCGGCGGAGCCTGCGTAGTAGCGTCCCGCTGGCCCTGCTGCGCTGAGAGGAAGGGGCGGGGCGTCGCCAGGTCGTGCCCGCATCCGCCGGACGCCGGAAGTGGCTCTCCGCCCCTGCCACTGGGCCATGGAGACTGTGGCACAGTAGATTGTAGTGTGAGGCTCACGGGGGCAGTGGCCATGGAGGCCGTGCTGAACGAGCTGGTGTCTGTGGAGGACCTGCTGGTGAGGCCTGGCCCGGACAGAGGGAAAGGGAAGGTCGGAGGGCGGGTCCTGAGGAGAGTCAGGTATGGGCCGAACCCTCCTCCCGGCATCGGCTTGGCCGAGGGAAGCCGAACTACGGCTCCCGGCAGCCTCCACAGCGTCTGGCTCCTGCCCGGAGGGCCCGCTGTGCCGCAGAGGCTCCTGGGAGTTGTAGTGTCATGAGCCCCCACACCTCAGAGTACGGGCCTGTTGCCCGACAGTGGTTAGACTGACGGGTTCTGGGATTATGCAGGAGCTGTGAGCTCAGGGCGCTCCTCCAGCGGTGGAGGAATACAGTGACCATCAGAAGGCGTCACCTATTACTGCGTCTGGCACGGTGCTAAGGCATCGCATGCCAGATCTCAGTCCTTGTAGCTCTAGGAGGTAGGCATTACTTCTATTCCTGGACAGTAAAAGGTCCAGGCCCGGCAGGGTGGTGCAGGATGGGGCCAGCAGGCTCAAATGAGGACCGCGTGGGCTGTTGTTGAGCAGTTCTGACAGTGTGTTTACTGTTTGGCCGCCGGGGTCAGCTGCTCCGGGAGCGGTGCCTGGAGCTGCCACCAGGTGGCATCTCCGCTCGGTACCGCCGGGGGGAGGGGAGACCAGGGGCATCTGTCCCAAGAGCTGGCCCACAGGCCAGGAGGAGCCGAAAGCCTGGGTCCCGTGCATGGAGATAGCAGATGGCTGGGGTGCCAGATACCGAGACCCACGAGGGAAAGGAGGCAGAGCCAGGGATAATGGGGTGTGACTGACACCATGTCCAGATAGAGAATGGTTGACGCCCTTCATTTCTAAATGATTCCTTTCTTCCCCTGTGGCAGAAATTTGAAAAGAAATTTCAGTCTGAGAAGGCAGCAGGCTCGGTGTCCAAGAGCACGCAGTTTGAGTACGCCTGGTGCCTGGTGCGGAGCAAGTACAATGATGACATCCGTAAAGGCATCGTGCTGCTCGAGGGTGAGGCGCTGTACTCTCCCCTTCCCGCTGCCATCTGGGCTGCTGTACGATGTGGGCCCCCGTAGTCCAGGCACCTCTCAGTTGTCTCCCGTAGATTTACTGCACCAAGGGCTCTACTTAGCTTGACGTCTCCCAGTGAACTTTTGGCTACTTACCGCCCACCATTGTTTTGCCAGAGGGAGTCGTAGCTTGTCATTTCCCCCAGGACTATCTTGATCTGGGAAAGTGACTTGAGGTCACGCAACTAATAAGTTCATGGCTGAATTGGGACTAGAAGCTCCCGTTTTGTGAGACCTAGGCCCATGCCCTTCCCCCCAACACCACCACCGTGTTGCTTAGTTAGCAGCTATTGAGAATCTTTTGTGGCATGGAAGAGGCCCAGAGGACTGTCCTACAAAATTGTGAGCACATAGTGCTTTTTGTTTTTTTTGTTTGAGACGGAGTCTTGCTCTGTCCTCCAGGCTCGAGTACAGTGGTGCTGTCTCAGCTCACTGCAGCCGCCCCCTCCCGGTTCAAGCAATTCTCCTGCCTCAACAACAGGCGCCCACTACCATGCCTGGCTAATTTTTGTATTTTTAGTAGGGACAGGGTTTCACCTTGTTGGTCAGGCTGGTCTCGAACTCCTGACCTCAGGTGATCTGCCCACCTCGGCCTCCCAAAGTGTTGGGATTACAGGCGTGAGACACCGCGTCCAGCCAGATAGTGCTTTTTGGATTGGACCCCTATTTCCCATTGGTTTTGTGTGGGTCATCATTTGTCAGAGACCACAATACTTAACCACTTAATTTCTCTGTACCTCCTTTCTTTTGTTCAAGTAATCTTTTATAAGCACACAGTCAGTGTACAGCCATCCCTCTGTAGCCATGGGGGATTGGTTCTAGGAACCCTGCCCCACAAATACCAATAGCCATCCAAGTCCCTTATATAAAATGGTGTGGTATTTACATGTAACCTGTGCACCTTCTCCTACATACTTTCAATCATCTGTAGATTACTTATAATACCAAATACAATGTAAATGCTGTGTAAATAGTATACTGTATTGTTTAGGGAATAATGGCAAAAAAAAAAAGGTCTGTTCATGTTCAGTACATATGCAACTATCTTTTTTTTTTCCCTGAGTATTTTTGATCCATGTTCGTTGAATCCATGAATACAGAATGCCAACTGTGCTAGCAAAGGATGCCTATTGAAAATCTATAAAAATGGCCGGGCGCAGTGACTCACACCTGTAATCCCAGCACTTTGGGAGGCCAAGGCAGGCCGATCACGAGGTCAGGAGTTCAAGACCAGCCTGATCAACATGGTGAAACCATCTCTACTAAAAATACGAAAATTAGCTGGGCGCGCACCTGTAATCCCAGCTACTCAGGAGGCTGAGGCAGGAGAATCACTTGAACTCGGGAGACAGGTTGCAGTGAGCCAAGATCACGCCATTGCACTCCAGCCTGGGCAACAGAAGGAGATTCCGTCTCAAAGGAAAAAAGAAATCTATAAAAGATTCTTTCTTAAAAGATACAAATAATTTTACCCTATGTTTGTCTACTTCGGCAATTCAGATTTTCAGGTTTATTCTACAGCAGGGTGTAGCTGTAGAAGAAACAGCCTCTCTAAGTGATTATCAACAAATTCTAGTGCATAGAGTACAGTTATCCTCTGAGAAGTCTCTGAATTAAGAAAGTTAGGTGGGGCCAGGCACTGTGGCTCATGCCTGAGAAGGTAAGGCCAGAGGATGGCTTGAAGGCAGGAATTCGAGACCATCTGGCCTGTCTCTATAACAAAAATTTTTAAATTAGCCAGGCGTGGTGGTGTGTGCTTATAGTCCCAGCCACTTGGGAGGCTGAGGCAGGAGGATCAGTGACCCCAGGAGTTCGAGGCTGCAGTGAACCATGGACGTGCTACTGTGCTCCAGACTGAGTGACAGAGCAAGACGCTGTCTCCTTTTTTTTTTTTCCCAAGACAGAGTTTCACTCTTGTTGCCCAGGCTGGAGTGTGCAATGGTGCAATCTTGGCTGACCACAACCTCCGCCTACTGGGTTCAAGCGATTCTGTTGCCCCACCCTCCTGAGTAGCTGGGATTACAGGCATGTGCCAACACGCCCGGCTAATTTTGTATTTTTAGGAGAGACGAGGTTTCTCAGTGTTGGTCAGGCTGGTCTCAAACTCCCGACCCCAGGTGATCCGCCCGGCTCAGCTTCCCAAAGTGCTGGGATTACAGGCGTGAGCCACCGCTCACAGCCAACCCTGTCTCTTTAGAAAAAAAAAAAAAAAGGAAGGAAGACAAAGTCAGGTGGGGTCTTTGGGGAAGGCTGATTGAAGGCAAGTTTTGAGCTATTTTTGTAAAGGGGGATTTTTTTTAACAGTAATTGGACAGCAGGCAGTTTAGTTAAAACCACAACAGCAGCACTTTGGGAGGCCGAGGCAGGCAGATCACTTGATGTCAGGAGTTTGAGACCAGCCTGGCCAACATGGTGAAACTCCATCTCTACTGAAAATACAAAAATTAGCCCGGCGTGGTGGCAGGCACCTGTAACTCCAGCTGCTTGGGAAACTGAGGCAGGAAAATCGCTTGAATCTGGGAGGCGAAGGTTGCAGTGAGCCGAGATCACACCATTGCACTCCTGCCTGGGCGACGAGTGAAACACCGTCCAAAAAAAAAAACACAGCAGATGCCAAAACTGAGTCGTGCTGCCTTTGGCTTCTCCAGGGCCCCAATTTCCTCATTTCGGTTGGATGGACCAGTTGACTGTAATGCTGCTAAAGGGATGTTCTGTCACTGGTGTTGGGGCAGCTGGGGTTCACCCTGCTCCAGAGCTCTGGCTAGTGTGCTGGGAGTGACTGGATCTGAAAGGGAGGCTTAGGACCGTCACCCTCCCAGGATCACAGAGGCATTCAGAGAGTGCAAGGGGCCTCTGGGACACAGTATTAGGAAAGTATTAGGAAAGAAGCATTTCTCACCCTCTTCTCTGCCCCTCCCCAGAGCTGCTGCCCAAAGGGAGCAAGGAGGAACAGCGGGATTACGTCTTCTACCTGGCCGTGGGGAACTACCGGCTCAAGGTGAGATGGGGCCCCAGTTCCCTTGACCCTCCTCTGGGGCTACAGGACCTTCTTACTACGTCCTCCAGGGTGGATCCCTGGACAGCAGGAAGGCTGAAGGGGTGCAGATGTGCAGAGCGGTGTCAGATGAGGACTCTAAGGGAAGATCAGAGTGGCGAGGGTGTGGGGAGGAAGGTGACGTCAAGAGATTGGGTGCAGGCCCCAGCCTTGCACTGTTATCTCCCGCAGAGTTGGGGTTGTTTGTGGACTCTACTCTGTGGGGTGGGGCTGGAGGGAGGGAGGGGGTGGAGGTCGAGGGAGGAGCCCCCAGGGCTGAAGAAGGGAAGGCCCTTCAAGTGGGCAGGAGGAGTGGTGGATACTGAGGTGTAGCTGGCCCGGTGGCTCACACCTGTAATCCCAGCTACTCAGGAGGCTGAGGCGGGAGGACTGCTTAAGCCTGGGAGTTTGAGGCTGCAGTGAGCTGTGATTGCGACGCTGCCCCCCAGCTTGGGCAACAGAGCAAGACCGCATCTCTTATTTAAAAAAAAACTGCTGAGGTGTGTTTGAAGCGTGCATGTTTCCCCGAGTGCAGGAATACGAGAAGGCCTTAAAGTATGTCCGCGGGTTGCTGCAGACAGAGCCCCAGAACAACCAGGCCAAGGAACTGGAGCGGCTCATTGACAAGGCCATGAAGAAAGGTGACAGCCTCGGCCCCTTTGTTCAGCCCCGCTCTTCCCTATGCCTGGACGCTTTGGTCTCTCTGTAAATGAACCCCTGCAGGCAGCCCCTCAGCCCCGCCCCTTCCAATCCTTAGAGCCCCTTGCCCTGTGACTCCAGGTAGGGGTGTGCCTCCGTTGAGGAGCAGGGCTGGCGGAAGGGGACAGGCTCCTGACACTGTCCCTTTCCTTCCCCAGATGGACTCGTGGGCATGGCCATCGTGGGAGGCATGGCCCTCGGTGTGGCGGGACTGGCCGGACTCATCGGACTTGCTGTGTCCAAGTCCAAATCCTGAAGGAGGCGTGGGAGCCCGTGGAGAACGCTCCAGGAGGGCCCATCCATCCTTGCTGTCCCTTCCCTGTTCTCCCCCTGCACCCCTGTCTCTGTCCTCTGTGGCCTTCAACTAACTTCTGCTCCCCTGAGACCCGTTCTTCAGCCCCAAATCATGTGCTTTGGGATGAGTGTAAATAAAACGGGACTGTGGCTTGGGAACCCCCGTGTCTGCATTGAGGGGAGGGGTGGGTTCCGAACGCTGGGCACAGGGGGCGGAGGTGTCACTCCTGGTCCTCTCCTGCCCCTGCCCTCCAGGTTGGCACGGGGTTCTTTGTCCACTGCGCAGCCCAGAGCCCACACCCCTCCTTCCTCCCTTTCCTGAAGCCACGTCCTTGAGAGTGCCAGGCAGTTCGGAGACACGGGGCTTTTCTCTGGTCCCAGAGTTGTGGGAGGAGGCAGTGACTGGAGCAGGGGTGGGCAGAACTGCGGGGTCAGGCCGGGCTTCAGGCCTGCGTTCTCCTCTGACCCACTCAGCTGCCTCTGTGGACTTTCCATAGCAAGCCCCCTTGGCTTCCTCCTCCCCGCCCTCCCCTCTCCTCCCTTTTTCTTCCTGTGGCCTCCCCTTCCTCCTACCTCCTCCTCCTCCGGGGATGGGGGGTGCCCGGTGGGGGAAGGAATCCTGCATCTGGTATGGAGTAGGCGGGGGTCCTGGGAGGGGTCAGAGCCCAGGACGCCCCAGCTCTCGCCTGTGGGCTGGAAGGTCAGGACTCCGCCCCACCTGGCCAGTTTCGCCCCCTCGTGCCAGGCTCAGCATGGGCCTGTTTTGCTTCACTGCATACCTCTCGTTCCACAGCCCAGGCCAACTCAGCCAGGAGTGGGGAGGAGACACCTGAGGGGAGGCCAGAGAAGCCCAGCAGGGCTGTGGGACCAGGGAGGTGTGCAGCCAGCACTGATGGCCCCCAGGGACAGAGCCCTAGGGAACTGGAGCAGGAGATAAGAGTGTCCACCCTGGGACAGGTGCTCTGCACTGGCTCGGGATGGGAACCCAGAGGCTGCTAATCCATCATCATTAATGAATAGAGTGGGTGACAGTCCCGATAACTGGGAACAGGTTGCAGAGCTTAGCCACAGGATCACGCTCCAGGCTCTTGGCAGCAGGACCAGCTCGATGCTGAGTCAAAGATCAACTTAGGAGGAAATTCGAGTTTTGGGCGAGAGCGACTCCCTGGTGGCCTCACTCAGCCCTGCGGCACTCACATCCAGGACAGTCCCGGGTGCTGAGCGCTGGTTATGTGCAGGGGGCTTGACTCCCTGGTCCCAACGAGGTCTTAGTGTGTTGCCCAGGCTGGTCTTGAACTCCTGAGTTCAAGTAGTCCTCTCTGCCCAGCCTCCCAAAGTGCTAGGATTACAGGCGAGAGCTACTGTGCCTGACCCCTGGTCCCAGTTCTCAGGATAGCCCATGCAGTAAGCAGTCGGGTCTGTCATTGACAGAGCAGAAGCAGGCTCAGGGGACTAACACTCCCTGTCTGAGTTCCCTGGTGAATGGATTGTGGGGCCAAGTTCCAGTCCAGGCTGGATGGAGCCCAGAGCTATGGGTCTCCCAGCTTCCCGTCCCCTCATTCCAGCTTCATCTTCCTTAAGAGACTCACATGCCCCAAACCCTCAGTCTGCGAGTATCTTAGATTGTTCTCATGGTCCCTCCATCCTTCTCCACTGAAGGCTGCTGTTCATTCTCTCTGTCTCTGTCCCTTGTTGCTCTCACGTCTGTCTCTATCATCTTTTCACTCCTTGTCCCTCTTACTCCGTTCTCTGGCCCCCAATGAAAGCTGAGTCAGACAGATGCTTCCCCTCAGTTCCCAGTACCTCCCTTGGGGGCCCCTCGTTGGCTGTATCGTCAGTGGCTCCAGGGTAAGTCTGCCCCCCCACCCTCGTGGGGCGGGGAGCCCGGGGCAGCCCAGAGGCTGGGGGGAGGGGGTGGACTTTTGGCCCGTTTCGGTTATTCCCTCCATCTCGTCAACAGCTGCCGCGCGCAGGCTTAGCTCATTCCTCTGACCTGCCAGGAAGCAGAGAAACCCAGAGAGCGGGAGGGAGGCAGAAACCTGGAGGCAGAAAGTGGAGACGGACCTGAGCCCGAGGAAGACGCAGGCAGAGGCCGTGGCTGATTCCACCCCAGCCTGCCCAGACAACTCTCCTTAGCCGCAGCCCCGTCCAGTTCCCTAGGGGTTCTGCCCCTCCCCCTCTCTGGGGCACCAGCCCCCCAGGGCCCTGCATCCCACCATGTCGATGGCTGTGGAAACCTTTGGCTTCTTCATGGCAGCTGTGGGGCTGCTGATGCTGGGGGTGACTCTGCCAAACAGCTACTGGCGAGTGTCCACCGTGCACGGGAACGTCATCACCACCAACACCATCTTCGAGAACCTCTGGTTTAGCTGTGCCACCGACTCCCTGGGCGTCTACAACTGCTGGGAGTTCCCGTCCCTGCTGGCCCTCTCTGGTATGGGGTGGGGAGCGCTCCAGGGGGAGAGGGCGGCGGGGAAAAGCTGCAGAGACCCCAGGGGAGGGCGGGTACTGCCGTGAGGATGCAGGGAGCCCTGGATTAAGCTCTGGGGGTCTGGGTTCCTGCAGCCAGGAGTGCTGGGGACAGCCCCTGCCTAGAACTGGAGTGAAGACCTTGCCACACGTGGCCCCCTGTGCTAGAGTGGCGCTTTTAGCTGTTATAGGTGCAGGCACCGGAATCAGACCCCCTTTCCCAGCCCTGTGCTGTGGGCAAATGATGAAACCAGCCTCATCTCACCCACCTGTAGGGTCGGGGTGAGAGTCCCAGTTCCCAGGTGACTGAGAAAGTGCAGAATGTTAATGTGATGTTAACACACACTGGCATTCAGTACAGTTGAGCATGTGTTGGGGATGGGATTGCTGGGATGGGCAGGGGGAGGCGGCCCCATCTTGGATTCTTGTAGGTTGATCAACTTCCAGGCTCCACAGCCTCCCCAGCCACTGTGGGGGCACTGGTCTCCTTGTCCAGCTAATGTCTAAAGGGCCCCTGTGAAGGGAGGCGTCTTGCAACCTGCAGGTTGAGCGTCCGCTTTAAGGAGGCGGTGTGTGTGCAGGTGTGTGGGTCTTTTCGGGGTCTTAGAGGGCTGGCGCCGACAGCTCTTTGGGCCCAGGGCAGTTCTTTCTGTGGCTGCGGCAGCTTCCCACTCCCTGCTCCCCGCTAGGATGAGGCCGCCCCATTGTTTCTCCAGGGCAGTCTCCTTTCCGTCTGCCCCATGCCAAAGACCAAGCGCGGGCGACTGTGAACTGCGTGTGGTGCCACTGCACGCCCTCCTGGGTCCCTCGGGGCCAGTCCGCTCACCAGGCACCGTGTGGCAGGGAAGGAGCCAAGGGCGACACTGGGTGTGAAGCGGGGCTTGAGAGCTCATCCCTGGGGATGTCAGAGCTGCTCTGAGCAGTTAGGGGGCCTGGGTGGGTCTCCTGTGCTCCCACTACTCCCAGCCCCTTCTGAGGCAGCGGCAGAGGCTTTGTGTTGTCATCCATCTCTCCAGGACTGACTATGTTCAGGGCTGGCGCCCCCCCACCTTCCCTCCCCCCACCCAAAAAAACCCTATAAAAGCTGAGTACAATCTGGGCCAGAAGCCCAGAGTGCTGAGTGGCCAGAAGGGACACTGGAGGCAGCCCCTACACCCACTTCCCAGACACATCATACTGTGAGGAGGGGGCTCTGCTGTAAGCCTGCACACCTGAGAGGGGCACCCCTGGGAACTGCATGAATGACAGTGCCAGAGTCCCCAGGGCACGGGGGTAGAGGGTGGCTGGGTTCCGGACCTTGGGCTAGGTGCTTCCACCTACATTATTTCCACGGTGGGGAAGTAGAGGGAATCTTTTACAGAAGCTGAAAAACCTTGGCAAGGTGCAGCACCCCACCCCGAGTCACACAGGCAGGAGAGGGGAGCCGGGATTCAGACTGCACGGCTGGGGTGGTCCTGAGAGAGAGACCTGACTGTGTCTCCCAACCGTGCTCCCCAACCCCTGGCCATGCAGCCCATGTGCCCCGGGCTCTTCCATAATCTCTCCATTGACTGCCAGAGCCACCTGGGGACTCAGACTCGTGTCGGCCCCAGAGGGAGTGGCTGGGAGGAAGAAAGTGCTCCCGGAGAACTTTGCCCCTCCTGCCTACCCCCCCACTCTGCACCCTGCATCTCCTGGCAGGGGCCCAGCCTTTCCCCTTCAGCACCGACGGTTATGCCCCACCCGGGAAAGGGGTGCAAGGTCCTTGGAATGCTTGGCAACTATCAAAGACAGAGAAGGGAGGAGAAGGGGGAAGCAAGAGGGAACCAGCAGCCTCCAGCCCTGAGAAAAGGGAAATTGAGGCACTGAAAGACTGAGCTAAACTGACGTGGATGGGTCCTGGGCCCAGGATTCCACCTAGATCAGAAACTCGACCATTTGTGGTGGTCCTGAGCTACTCAGGAGGCTGAGCAGGAGGATCGCCTGCACCCAGGAGTTCAATCAAGGCTGCAGTGGTGAGCTGTGGTGGTGCCACTGCACTCTGGCCTGGGTGACAAAGCAAGACCCTGGCTCTAAAACTGCCCTAGACCCTCTGCTATACAGCACTGCTGCCCCCTACCTGTTATTCCAGGAAGAAACCAGGTCAAAATGTCCAGCACTGGGCTAGGACAGTGGGAAGGACTTGGAGTGGAATCAGACGTGGGGAAGGCGACAGGGATGCTTAGCTGTGGTTTCTGTAATACCCAGTCACGCGAGAGCAACCTGATAGGGCAGCTGTTCTCAGTCAGGCGACTTCGCACAATGATTGTCATGGCTTGTGGGGAGGGGGTTGCTACTGGCACCCCGTGGGTAGAGGCCAGGGAGGCTTCTGAACATCCCACAGTGCACAGGATGGCCCCCAGAACAGAGTTACCCAGCTCAGGTGTCAAGAGTGCCCAGGAGAGACCTGTAATCCAGGCACAAGCAAAGCATGCCAGGTGCATGGGAGGAGTGAGGAGCGGGGTGGGAAGCGTCCAGATGCCGAAGGAGGGAGGGGTGACTGCAACTGGGTAGGCTGGAGGAGCCCAGGGGAAGGAGAGGACTTGGGGACTGTTAGGTACAAGAGAGCAAGAAGGTGAGGGGGGCCTGGCGCAGTGGCTCATGCCTGTAATCCCAGCACTTCGGGAAGCTGAGGCAAACAGATCACTTGGGGTCAGAAGTTCGAGACCAGC